GCGCAGGCGGAGGTCGCCCTCGGCAGCTCGAGACTCCGGCGCCGCCCCCGTCGGCTGAGCGCCAGGAGGGCGGCGTCGCCGCGCCCAGTGCCCGCCAACAGGCTCGGCGACGCCCCCCCCCGAAACGCGGGACGGGCAGGGGGGGTGGGCGCTGCTGGGGCCGCTGCTGCTCATCCAGGCACCCCTGCCCGCGGCCGCGGCCCCGGATACGCGGGGGAGCGGGCCCCACCTGCCAAGGACAGCGTGGCCGCCGACGTCGGCGCCCCCCTGCCCGCGGCCGCGGCCCTGGAGGTGCGGGGGAGCGGGCCCCACCTGCCAAGGGCAGCGTGGCCGCCGACGTCGGCGCCCCCCCTGCCCGCGGCCGCGGCCCCAGAGGTGCGGGGGAGCGGGCCTCGCCTGCCAAGGACAGCGTGGCCGCCGACCTCGGCGCACCCACCGCAGCGGCCGCCGAGCGCGCGCGACGGGAGGCCACGGGCGGGCCCCCTGGCGGCCACCGCCGCCCGCGCGGGCGCAGGGGCGGCCTGACGGCCTCCCAGGGGCCCGCGGCAGGGGCGGAGGCCGCCCACGCCAAGCACGGGTGGCCGGCCTGGATGGCCAGGGCGGGCCGCGCGCCGAGGCTGTCGACAGCGCGTAAAGAATGACCCTTCGCCAGATCTGAGTGACCTTTGGTGCGGGCTCATTGGGGTCCCCCGATCGGCAGTGGCGTCTTGCGCGCTTGCGTTCGATCCCCCCGCGGCCCCCCAGAAGCCGCGCACCAAAGGTCATTCTTATCCAGGGTCACTCATGCGCGTAGCCGGGGCTGGCGCTAGCCCAAGAGAGCCCCCACGGGCGAGGGCGGCCAATCCCTGCCTCTGTGGCTGCGGTTGCCGGGGCTGCTGCGGCGAAGAGGGCCTCGGCGACGCGATTGGCTTCGGCGTGCACCTCCTCGTGGGGTACTTTGCGTCGCGTGCGGCCTCGGCGGCGTCTTCTACGATCTTCGGCCAGCCTGGCCCCTCGGTGTCAAACGACGTCATGTTCGCACTGGGCGAGCGCGGGCGGAAGGACCGCAGGCCGAATCCCAGGGAGGTTGAAGGCCAGGACGGCAGCGCGGCAGATGGCGTGGGACGGCGGCTTCCACATGCGCTGCCCTCCGTGTTCCAGGAGATCTCCGACGAGCATCCGCAGCTAACTGGAGGACGCGGCTGCCCGCCCCTCCTGGCCCCTCCCCAGAGGTCCCCGCCCACCCGCCGACAGCTTCGGGAAGCGGGCGCGAGGGGTGTTGCATGCGGGAGCCGAGGTGGAGTTGGGAGGGCGTGCGACCCAGAGGGCGGCAACGCCGGCTACTTCGACCAGGGGCCGGCGGCGCGGGGAACGAGGCTGCCAGATCCTGTCGGTCAACGTGGCGAGCTGGTCGAGTATGCTGACGCAGCTCCGGGAGCGGCGGTGTCCCCAGACGTCGCAGCCGCGGTCATCCTGGAGCACCACCTGGACGAGTCAAAGGTAGAGGGCGCCATGATGGCCGCCCGCCGCGGAAGCGCGACCTTCACCCTGCTCGACGAACCGGGCGCGGGGGCGCTGCAGGCGGCGTCGGACTCCTTGCAAGGACATGGGCGGCCGCGAGACCACTCGAGTTCCAGCATGATTGGACGCGCGCGCCCATCCCAGCGCGCAAGGGCGTCTGGTTGACCGACCTCGGGCCTGCAGAGGGGCTGCTGCTGGCCTCGGTCAACCTCCGCGCTGGCAAAGAGCTCGGCTGTGCCCGCTTGGAAATCCCGATGGCGCCGGGGCGGTCCTGCGCGTTGCGGACAATCCCTTCGTCGTGAGCGGTGACTGGCAGATGCTCCCATCGACGCTTGGTCAGTCGCATTGGCCGCAGGCCGCGCGCGTGGCGGCCTGGGCCCACCCGAGCTGGGCGCCGCATGGGCCGCCAGCCAGAGCGCCTGGGTGATCGACTCCTTTGTCGCCGGCCGCTACCTCGCAGGCGGCGAGGCGAAGGTCGCCAACGAGTTCTCGGTCGCCGCGCGCAAGGCGGGGGTGGCCCACGAGCTGTGCGCGCCCTCTCTTCCACGCGAGGTTCGGACCATGCACGTTGCCAAGCCATCCCCTGCCAGCGCAGTGGTGGGCCCCCAGCGCCTGCCGCCCGATTGCGAGACGCTCGTAGATGGTGACCCCGGGGGCGTCGAGCGGCGAGCAGTCGACATTGCGACGACGGGGGCAGGAAGCTCCTGGGCGGCCAATTCCAGACCTGGCTCCGCTCGCATGAGGATGAGCTGGTGGGGCACCCTTGGCTTCACGACGAGGCCGACAAGCACCGCGGCCGCGAGCGAGCGCGGCGTCTAGTGCGCCACCGCGACGCCGGACATGCACAGGAGGCATCAATGCCAGCTCAGCGGTGCTCCAGGCCCATGGCAAAGACTTGCTGATCGCGTCCGCCAGCGGCGCCGCCGCCGAGCACGCGCTGCTGGCGTCGGGGGCCGCCCGCGGCCCCGCGCGCTGCAGGTCGGGCCGGACCGACGCCGCCTCGCGGCCTCAGATGTGGCAGCAGTGGCGGGCCATGGTGCGCCGCCTCGACAAGGCCAACGAGGATGTCCACATCCCAGAGAGTGATCCACCGGCAGCGGACATGGCCGCTCATCGACGATATCGCAACTGGATCGACTAGACTCGACGAGGCAGGGTGGCATGAGACACGCGTTCAAGTGGCTGAAGCAGGAAGCCCCGTGGCCGATTGCCTCGACAGCCCTGGCGCCTGGTAAGGCGCAGGCCATCGGCGACGAGGCCCAGGCCGCCATCGAGCCGCGGCGCCCGCCGTGGTCAGGGGGGCAAGACGGCGACTTCGACGGCGTCGCAGTCAATCTCTCCCCGCAGTAGAGGGGGCGAGGATAGCGGCGCGCGACCTCTCGGGGAGCATGGGCCTTGGCTGCGACGCGGTGCGCCCCGGGAAATGCGTTGCCCAGCGACCAAGCCATCATGGAAATCATTTGTATCTGGGAGTGCATGCTGGCCACGGGCCAGGCGCCCTGGGCGATCGCCGTCGCGCGGGAAGCTCTATTGCTAGAGCCTGGAGGTGGTCGGCGCGCGATTGGGGTCTTCCTTGGCACTGCGCGGCCGCTGACTCGATGGCGCGATTCCGTGCGCGGGGTGGACGGCCGAGGCAGGGGCTGCGAGGCCTGCGTCCGGGGGCAGCTTGCTCAGGCCAGCTATGCTTCGGCCCGTGACCGGGCGGCAGTCTCCATCCTTCTCGACCCCAACGAGGCATGTGAGTTTACACGCTGGCACCTTGGTGGCGAAAGGGCGGGGCGGGTCGTGGACTTCAGCGTGTCCGCTGCGCATGATGATCGGCTTTTACAGCGCGCCGAGTGTCTTGGCCATCGATGGCCTGATATTCGGCGCGCTCAGCTCGTGGAGCGGGGTAGTGGCTGGCTGCTCGTTCGCCAACCTGATGATGGGGATCTCCCTGGTGCCGATCTTGGATCGAGTGGCCGACGTTCCGGACCTCGACTTCGGCAGCGTCGTGGGCGGCGCCCAGTTGCAGCCCACGGGCCGCGAGGAGTGCGCGGTCGGCATGGTCGCCGAAGGTTGCGCGACGGTCAGAGCCAGGCTTCTGGCGGACCACCTGGTGCTCAACGGCTCCAAGGGCCAGGTGGTCTCCAACGGGCAATCGGCCGCGGTGGCCCTGCCCGACGCTGCAGGGGCGAGATGGCAATCTCGGCTGCGATATCTAGCGCGGCGAGCGGGTTGGCACGGCCACTCGTCGCAAGCGCCTCGGACGCGCGCAGAGGCGCTGCGCGAAGGTCCGAGCCCTTCGCCGCGCCCGTGGAAATAGTATGCAGCTGGTTTCGATGGGACCGGTGCCAGCTGGGACGCGAAGGGGCGCCGCGACGAGGAGGGCGCGGGGACCAGCGGCGCATCTTCGGAGGCCGGCCTGAGCGGACCTCTTCGTGCATGCGGCCTCTTTCGATCGCTCGTGCTCGGCCTCGCGCTTTTGAAAGGAAGCCCTGCCAGGGTAGACAGCTTATGCATGTGCTGCTGGGCCCATTTTTTATGTTGGTCCAT